GCTCACTCAACTCAAATGCTCTTTGGGAAGAGTATAGTTGCCGTTCAAATATTTGCGAAGTGTTAGAGAAAAACGTCACAACCGATTGGCGGAGGAGGGGGGCGAAATTTCCAAATAAAAAGAAGAAAAAGTGAAAAAAAGAGAGAAACAAAGAGAGGTGGAGTGAAATCCGAGAGATCACAGAATATCTTTGTATCGAAGAAACACGATAACAAAATCTCAACCGGAAACGTTGAAATATATTCTTCTTACCTTTGATATCGCATCCTGTTTCACGAGTTAACGCGATTCTTCTCTTCTTTCGCACGAACGAGTGACGCTCGTTCGTTAAACGTGTCACGTACCAACGTCTACTCTTATCTCATTTCGATTTACTTTGCTCCCCGATATATCCGTCTATTTATAGTTAATTAATCAAGGAAACGGTGAGAATATCGTGTTAAAACTTTGAAAAGTTAAAAGACTCGTCCATGAAGATAAAACTGTTTCCCTACCCACGCTTATCGTAAAATATCAATTGTATGTATATAATACTTACAATTAGCTCTAAATGAATTTTCAGTTTCAATTAATTTGCCAATTAACTCGGCTGTGGAATCCACTTAGATCTAATATGCTAGGAAGCATCTCATCCTTCTCCATTCCTCCTGTTTCCCAACTATATCTGTATCTCTCTGTTCCTCCCACGGACTTCTAGCGTACACACAGAGAGAGAATGTACGGCACCCAGCGCGAGAAGCATACACGAAGGAGGAGAAATGCATTTGCTTTGGAACATTCGACAAATTAGCTATATTACCGGGGCGACCGCGGATGCAGATTTCGTGGGATATACAGTTTCCCAACGGTTACCGTGTACGTGGAGGAGAATCATCAAAGTTAACTCGAGTCGAGTGCGCACCTGCAGACGGCCGCTCTCTTCTATATTCCATTTCCTCCTTCTCTTCCTCCTTGTCCTTCCTACTCCATATCTCTCGGTTCGAAACTTGCGAGCAAATCGGTCCACTGTAACGCGGAAATGTCGTTAAACGATCACCGGATTCGAACTTTCCGAAGCGATCGTTCCTCCAGTTAATATGCATCCTATCAAACAGGCCTGAATGTTCAATGAGACATGAATTGCATCTATGTCTCTATATAGTATCGATAAAAGGGAAATTGATGGATAGTTCCTTCAAAGTACATTTTTATTTAATAATCTTTTCCTTTTTAAAATGATCCCTAATAAAGCCTACTATTGAAATTATTTTATTATTATCTAGATAAATAACGTTTACGAAAAATGTTCGATTAATCTATTTCTTTGACCGATCAATTATTTACCCTCTTTATAAATTCCAATGTGCAAATAATTCTTTATCAAATCGTAATTATTAATTGAAATCTACCAACGGTTATAAGTGAACAAAAATATGAATTACCCTATCGGTATTTTATAATCGATGGTATTGATCGGAATACGAGAGAAAGAGTATCGATAGAAACTATAGGCAATTCCGCACTCCTATTTGATCGCATCATGCTGAAAAGTAAAAAGATCCTAATAGAAGAGATGAAGTCATCCGACTCGTTACGTGGCCATGATCGAAATTAACTCGCTGAAGGGTAATCAAGTAATGAATACATCGCCGGCGAAGGCCATACCTATATAAATCATGCCGTAGAGGATGCCAGAGGGAGTCCGCAGGGCGAGCCCTTATCTCCAATCAGTACATTGATTGCACGCAGCCAGGTCAAATACCGGGTTTCCACTTGGCGCTTCGGCACAGCCACGATAGCTTATTCAATTTCCGAAACGGTATTCACCATTCAATTCGCCGCTTATCAGCCTCCACCCATTCGATATCTGGATTTTACGTGGCTTTCCTAAGGCTCGTGCGTTTGCTTGTTGAAAAAAGAAAATAAAAAAACGAAAGAAAGGAAGGAAGGAGGGAAAAAAAGAAGAGAAGAAAAACGAGGAGGATGAAGAAGCAAGAGGGGGAGTTGTGGATATATCGTTGTAGGAGGAGGATAAGTTCCACGAAGCTTTCCACGTTCCAACTGCAAATTCTCTTATGGCCTTGTAGCAACGGGTCCTTGGGGTTTCTCTATTTCTCTCTCTCTCTCTCTCTCTCTCTCTCTCTCTCTCTCTCTCTCTCTCTCTCTTTCAGACCACTTGAATATAGGAAGATTTTATCTGCTATATCCCTTCAAATATTTATTTCCTATTTATTCCCTATTTATTCGTGTATCTATCTATATTTTATTTGCGATTCTTCGGAAGTAAGGATTGAAGGGGAGTGTCAAATAGAGGAATACGAAATTGGTAGGATGAAAATTGCCAGGTTACTCGTGATTCTTCCTTTTGAGGGATATCGTTCCACATCTATCTACCTAGAGAAAAGCAACGCTCGCTTTCCCCGCAGTGTACATAGATAATCGAGCTTAATTAATTACCCGTGATGCGCGCTCGGGTCTCGGCAAACACATTTACTTATTAGCATCTATCTTGAGTGGTGCCTCTCAAGGGAATCGATTTTCTAAGTGCACATGCCTGATGACACGAATTGCCAAAGGGTCGACGCTCGATCGTAACGCGATCATTAAATAAAGGCGCGGAGCGAGCTCCGCCATGTCGTTATGAAAGAGCTATACCTATTAATAAGAGCTAGTTGCTTTTGTCGAAGCACATGCTGTCCATTAAAACTTTAACTTCGAATAATTATCTTCCTTTCGCTTTCATTTGATTTATTTATTTTCTGCCCTCTTTTTCCTTTTGTTTTTAACTAGAAAACTAAGTTTCCTTAGCGATCACATTAATTTATAAGGTATCGACTGATAGCCGATTAATTGACTTCTCACTTTTCCAACACTAAACATACTCTCTTTTCCGAAATATACATTTACATATTAGATATTGGATTTATGAATTCTATTAAATAATGAAAAAATCGTTCCTATCGCTCGGATTGTTAATTCTTAAGAAACCGAATTGGTACTTGCAACGAGTTCGCGCTGAACCGAATCGGTACTTAGCTGGCGTCAACTTTCAGAGTTCGATAAAGTACTTATATCCATTTGTCTTAATAATTATTGTCGAAGACGAAAGTAGGAATCCAGTAGGAAAACTGTCGAGTCGTAAGTGACATTTATGGGACGCATTCAGCGTTAAAGTTTCTCGAAGGAGGCGACAAGGAGAATAGCTGAGAAATAGTCCGTATCTCAGTTCCGGTATCTTTAGTAGCACACGATGTTCCCCCGACAACGAGGCGACAACAAACGTCTAATGACTACCACTCTCCAAGCTTAATTTCCTGATCCGTGAACAGTGTTTAGGATGGCCTGCCTGCCCCATCTCCTTCTCAAACTTTTCTTTTATTTCTTAGCAAAACATTTTTCTTTCGTACCGCAGCTACCATAAAAGAAGAAATCATTTATTTACCATCGAGATCTCTTAAAAAAACTCAACAAAACTTAGTAATTGTATACGACTGTTACAGTCTCTCCCTTTCGTATTGTTTTTTCTGCCCTACTCACGAAAAGCATATAGCGTGTAGAAGATCCACGTGGTCATGGCACTGACCACCCCTGCAATGCGACCAATTCCCCTTGGTATCTGGCATGCGCGCAGGAAGAAAAAGTTTTGGGGCTGCCTCGCACGTTCTCATCTACCGCACGCTCCTTCTCTATCTTCCTTTCTTTTTGCCTTCTACCCCCTGGCAATTCTTATGGGAAATACCGTATAATGAAAAAAAGTAGCGAGTCAGAAGACAGATGGTCGTGGCATTCGAAGGGATCCCGAGCGTGTCATGTCCATGTTAAAGACCAGATTTCGTGCTCCCACTTCTAAGATTCATCGTTCCTTAAGCGGTCCTAATCTCTTTCCGGAATCCCAAAATTCGAATCGATGCTAAATCGTTCGTAATCATCATTCCCATTACGTTAATTCGTTATCAAGGCAAACATTGTATCCAGCCTTAAATGAATTCATTTGTAAAACTGAACGGAAAATCGAATAAGGATCGAGTTAGTTGAAATTCTTTATCAAAATAGATTAGAGAAATCGTGTCGGTAAAATAGAAGGAAGTAGTCCCTTTTGTTCGTGCATGTGGGAGGGCGCCGTCGGAAGGAAAATTGGCCGGAGAAAGCATTTCCAAGTGGACTGATAGGATAACGCCTTATTGGAAGGAGCATCCTCGGTAAAAGGGAATGTTTGTGTGCTAGGGTGAAAAACGGGAAACACACAAGGAGTGTGAGAGGGTCTCTCGAAGAATATCGAAGTTACGGTGGTTTGTCCCCTGTGTCATGAATCATGCATCTGGATCCCTGGATGAGAGAAGTAGAGCGTGCTGCGACGGCGTGGTGGTCCGGCAAATAAACAATGTTATTTGTTCTCAGAGTCCAAACCATCTATGCTGCGGTCCAAAAGATTCCTACGGAAAGGACCACCACGAAAGGTCCCGCTATCCTTCTCATCTCTCTCTCTCTCTCTCTCTCTTCCATATCTGTCTTCGATCTCAACGTTTTCCCCTTTCACACCGTCTACCAGGATCTTTCTCCTTATCCTTCGTCGTCGTCGTCGTCTTTACCACCCCTATTCCCTGACAGTCGGACCTGTCATCTACAGAGGTACCTCTCACCATCTCTGATGGTGTTTGAGCGAGGGCAAAGTGACGAAGGAACGAATGTACACCTCCACTGGACACTTCCTACTGAACAAATAACGACACTTCCGTTTTGTTGCACGCTTTCTAGAGCAATTCGTTTCTTTTCTCCTTAATACTGCAAGAAACAGGACTTCTTCTTTTATTTCTTTAGATTTTTCTTCTCTCTTATGTCGCTCCTCTTATGTACAACTTTTCGTTGTTGTCAGAAGAGGAAAGATTATCAATCGTAACTGAATATAGAATGTAGGATATTTTCTTGATAGCCCATGATACTTGTATTAACAGATAGATTGATAAATTCAACACCGTTTGCTAGCAGCTATGATTAATTGGTACGAATTCTTTTTGTTTCAGATGAACCGTCCTATTCAAGTGAAGCCGGCGGACAGTGAAAACCGCGGAGGTGAGAACGACCGATTCATCTAGTAGATAGAATTTGAATATTTTCATAAATTCTTATTTATAATATTCGACGACATGATCAATAATTCTGTCTATCTTAATTATTATGCATTCAGGTTTAACGAAATTGAACCTTTCGGAAAATCTAAGAACGACCCTGGGTCCGCCTCAGCGGTCTATTTTTCGTGTTCCAGAAAAAGGATAATACGTTCCTAAAGACTTTTAGCGTCGAAGATTCTTTTTATCTATTATATTTTTCTTTCTTCGTATATTCTTTTTTTTCTTTTTTATTGAATTTTCTAGCAATTCAGGATCGGTCCTTCTTCCGTTCTCGTCATCTCGGTCGACCATTGCTCCAAATTTTCTCCTATCTCTGGCACTCAGCCAGATGTGTTTGGCTTTCTGCGTAAAAGCTGATTGAATTCCCGGTAGCTTTTAGCGGGCTACCCGGGGTCGTGCTTGGAGTTTCAGTAAATGAGACCTACTCTCTGTGTTTGTTCACGACACAAGCAGCGCTCGCCCGGTTTTTGAAATGTTGCGAAAGGAACCTTGAAAGAAAGTTCATAGTTATATAATACTGACGTACCGTTAACAAGGGATGCGTCACATTGTAGAGATTTGAAAACGTCGATAACATTTAACTAGGATCAGATTCGACACGAGAGAATACGTCAATCTCTCTAGCGATGTATACGAACGTGATGCGCAAAGTTAATAACGAATATATATGGGCAATTCAGCAATCCATACGTAATCTTCAACCTAGCGTATACGAATCGTTCGCAAAATTCTATTGGAATCTACAAAATACACGAATGACATAACACACACACGTACACACACGCACATGCACACAGATATCCATTCCCTAGGATGCAAATAGCACCGGACTGTAGAATACGCGGTTAAAAATCTGTTGACGGTACGTAAATATTGTGAAAAACGCGCTCTGAATATAACACAAACATTTGTCGCCGTACATCCATTATTACGACGATCCTCCAGAGACATCGTTACATTTTTAGAACGCATCGATTTTATCGACACCATCGAATTCAATAACAACGGCGACGTCCTCCCTCAGTGACTTTCGAAATTGCATAGACCGAACCGCCCACCCCCGGTCCGCCCTCCTACGTTTCTTGTCAGGAGAGTGAAATCGATCGGCCCAACATTCGGTCTCTACAATCCTAGTAGTATCATTATTACCGACGTAGAGAGACGAACGAAACAAACTATAAAGATATATGAACATCGGTGATAATCTTGAAACGTTCAAACTTCGAACTTAGTTTAGTGTCTTCCACTACGAGCCCGCATGACAACCCTGATGATTCACAACGAGCTCCTACATTTTGGAGGTTTCTAAAGACTCATGTGTCTCACCGTTGAATTTCTTCAAAATACGACGAATTCAAATTACACTGTTACATCAAATTCGTAATATGTCTGATGGTTAAACTTGATAAAATGTTAACTTCATAAAAGGAGAAAACATTTCCGAGATACGTCTTCTCATCTGTCCACTTGAAAATATTATAAAGCAGAACGAGTTACAAGTAGATAGAGAAGATTCAACCTTTTTTCATCGGGTCTAATGCTTTCCCCTGTAAGAAGAATCCGTGTGCATCAAACGTTCCACAAGAAGGGAATGGAAGAGCAATAGAAGGAAGAAGGGAAGCCGACAAGGAGGGAAGGAAAGTGCACAGGGGGATCGTAATTCATATGCTAATCTGGAGGAGATGCCATTGTAATCTCCGGTCGCCTAGCTCGGTACGGCCTTACAAAGCCTCGCCTTGACGCGGATGTAGGCTGAGTGATCTGATGCCTCGTTGCTGCTGCTGCTGCTGCGCTACTGCTCCTGTTGCTGTTGCTGTTGCTGTTGCTGTTGCAGTTGAGGGAGATGCCACGTACTATACCTACGTAGATACTACACTGTACTCACGTACTCGTGAAGTTCAATCAGGGGGTTAGTGAACTTCAGTAACACGAACGAACCGCTTTCTCCGACCTAACCTCCTGGATATTTCCTAAACCAGGATTCGTCTCTTGCCTTTGCCACGTTCTATCACCCAAGATGGTTTCAGAATCTCCCTTCTCCCTTCTCCCTTCTTCCTTCCTCCTTATCCCTACTCCCTCCTCCCTTCTCCTTCCATTCCCTCTTTCTCTATCTCGGCACGGTTTCTGCCTACACCTTAACGGGTTTCTCTTCCAAGTTCCGTGTCTCGTCGTCAACGTCTCCTTTCCACGACATTTCTAATCGGCAAGGGGTGAGAATTCACATCCGCTGTGTGTCTCTGGCATCAAGGGTCAAAGTTTGAGATCCTACTACCAATGTTGAATGTCTAATTTGTCCCCTGGCATTAGATACGATTAGCTTAGGAGATCCGCGATTATTATTAGTCAGCACGTGAGATGTTACTAATCGTAAGACAACGTTCTTAATTGATATTCCTCTGGGAACATGACAGACTATTATTATTTAGTTTCATGCGATTCAGTATACAGCATCGTGGTTTTAATTAACGTAAAAAAAACGGCTGGGAAATTTGTATAGGAAAGAAAAAAATAAAAATGAAGTATGAAAGTTCGTACCGTGAAAGTGACACTTTTATTGAAGCGATTTTTCGCAGGAGTCTTGAGAAGTAAATGGAATTAAGTCTACACGGAGAGAAACAGATTTGAGAAATACGTATCTCACGTGAAAGTTGGTTGAAGTCTGGCCGGGCTGGAGTTCTCCAACTGGATAAGGGTGAAGTGGGAGCTGTACCGAAGCTAGTTGAACAAGTAGATAAGTTTCGATCCCTCGGCGAGCCACCTTACCTCCATCGCCATCACTCGTCTTACTACCTTTGTAGAGATAAACGTATCCTGAGATATCAGGAGCCTTGGCTGGTACCTTCATTGCTGGTAAGCTAACTTTGGGTTAGCCAATGTGACGTAAATTTCTCTTACACGATCGATGGAAATATCTTTGGTGTATTTTTGAAAAATCCATATTTTTAACCTTATAACAATGTAAAATAATTTTAACATACTAAAATTGTAAAATATTATACGCAATGTTTTTTTATTATTAATTAAGAAAAGAGAGAGGTCAAAAATTTGATTCGTTTTATTAAATATAAATCCTGACACGATTCATTCATTCACAGAAACCACAAAGAACAATAAGATTGAATACGAAGTTCTTGATACACGAATGAAATACAATACTTTCTTTATTCGTCGTCCAATTCGTAAGAAGATAAATTCTTCGTAGAAGGTTAATTTCTCAGTCGACTCAACAAGACCATCAGAAAGAAAGTCTTTGAGAGTGGAACGTTAACAGTCAGCTCTAAAGCGACAAAGCTTCAATTCTTGGGTCCCCACGGTGTCCTGACGCGACAATGAGAAGGAACGAATGGTTCGCTGAAAAGTACCCGAGGCTAACGGAAGGAGAATCTTCGCTTGTAAGGAATGGCGGTGAGGACGGTTAAAGGGGTGGTAGTGCTGGTGGTGGTGGTGGTGGTGGTGGTGGTGGTGGTGGTGGTGGTTGGTGGTTGGTGGACGGTTTAAGGGACGACCCTGTGGAAAAGCTGCTGGAGAAGTTAACGGAGAAGGGGTAAAATGATGTGGGCTGGCGGATGGGACATGAAGTATGAGGAAGAATCCAGAGAAAGCGGAGATGCAACGAGGCTGCAAGTCAGGCGAGAATCTAATTTCCCGAGACAAATCCTTAAATGTGCCCTAGAGCAGCTTGGTTGGAAGGCGCGAGTCGGTAGAAGGAACCTCATGGAATGAGCTCTCGCATCTAACATCCGCGACTACAACTACTACTACTACTAATACTACTACTACTACTACGACAACGACTATGACGACGACGACGACGACGACGACGACCTTTAACTCGGTTCACCAATTTTACATCTCCATAACCTCCGCGAGAACGGGTCATTAAGCTCATTCACGCGCAGGATGCGGTATACCGACGAAGGAAGTTGCGACCCTCGATATCGAGGTACAATAATGAAAGGGATGAGAGAGTTTATCAGGACTCTCTATTTTTTATTCATATTCTTGAGGTTTCTTACTCCATCTTTTTTCGGTAATAATTCTTCAACTTTTTGACGAAGAAGCGTTAAGAAACAAAAGGTTTTATATTTTGATTGTATTATACATTACGATGATAGAAAGAAATATGAATAATTGTGAATTGTTTATTTAATATTCTAGAAAACATATACTTGTATTTCTTAATATATCATACATTTGAATAATCTAATAGCGGAAGAACCAAAGTACCGGGTTGCGCGTCCCTGATGCAACTGCGTCGGGGAATAAAAAGTACAAAAGTACGAAAGAACGAAAGAAAGAACGAAAGAACGAAAGAACGAGCGAACGAGAGAACGAACGAACGAACGAACGAACGAATGAAGAAGAATCGTATAAATTTGTTCGGCCCAATGCCATTTCTTTATTCTGTTCTGTATTCCAGAGTGCATGATGGACGACGGGAGCGCCTGTGCCATCTTCTGGAAGTAGGAGGCACCGGTGGCAGCCGCTGAAGGTAACTTCGACTTCCAGGAGATAGCTAGCTTCCTTCCAGTACCTCTATTCTTCTTCTCCGCAAATCGGCAGAAAGAGAGAGTCCCCTTCTCTCTTCTGAAAAGAGAAAGAAAAAAAAAGTGAACGAAAAGCGAGAAGCGAATCTTCCTTAACTTCGTCGCGCCATCACCGCTGATTCAGCCTAGCACAGAGCCCGCTGCAAAGTTCATTTTGCTGCTCGCTAGTGTTCGACCCACCACATTTTTCGCCCTTCCTTTTACAGATCCTCTCTCCCAGCCCCTACCTACCACCTTCTCTATCTTTCTCTATCTCTATCTCTCTCTCTTCCCCCTTTCTTACACCACATGTCTTTCCTTTCTGCTTCAGCCACGAACGATCCTATTTCCCGACATACATCCAACCGATATATGCGTTAGAGATATATATCCATCCTCGAAAGAGGCAGAATCCAAATTGCAAACGCCGCACGGAAAAATTTGTCGCAAGGAAATAGTAGAGAGAGATCCTCCTTTTTGGCTAAATCCATTGGTGAGCCGTCTGACGAGAAAGACCCTTCAGCGTCAGCATAAAGTAAATCGATTCTTCCTAATCAGCTTTCCAAATTATTGACCAAGAATCGAATCGACCATACTTCCGATCCCGTTCGCTCTTCCGTCTTTCTCCTCGTCCTTTTCTTTTTTTCGCAATATCCTCCCTCATCCTTCTTCTATTTTACTTTTTTTTCTTCTTCTTCTTCTTTTTTATTGATCACACCTGAACGCGCTTCCAACTTCGATATCGCGTTGCAATCTGGAATCCCCCCCCCCCGTACTACATCTTCCCGCTCTCACGCACCGTCCATTGCCATATTCCTTTCTCTCTCTCTCTCTCTCTCTCTCTCTCTTACTTGTTTCATCCAGCACGATAGACATCATTATAGAAGAAAAGGTATTATGGACAGTGTGTTGTACGTAAACCCACGTGCGTGACTGATACCTGTAGCCGTAAACTTGTCGTCTGTTTCTTTTCTCCTTTTTTGTATTACGCACACTCGTTATCACACTATTAAAGTCTTGTTACGACGCGACGTGAGTGAACGCTTTTAGAATGCCATAAATTCCCCTCGTCGCTGTATGAATTAACGCGAATAACCACGCGAATAATGGTTAGAATAAGCATAAAATATAGTTTGCAAAATGAGACTTACGTTTTTTCAAGATAATTTTCCTTCCTTTATCTCTTTTCCCTCTCTCTTTTTATCTTCCCCTCACTCTCTCTCTCTCTCTCTCTCTCTCTCTCTCTCTCTCTCTCTCTCTCGTGCTTCTTCTCTTTCCGATCGTACGGCGACGATAAAAACTTTTTCCTCCCCTCTTATCTTTTTCTATTTCTTCGTACTTTAACCAATGGTCGTTCGTACTACATGTTACCGTACTCCTTTAAGCTCCTCTTTCGATTCCAAGTCTCGATACTACCATCATCATCATCATTATCATCTTCATATTCACTATTACCAAACCCCCCCTTAATCGTGTGCCACATATACATGTATATTTTATGTATTTACACTATACGTATAATAACATAATGCATATACATTGAATATATACGTATATATGCGTCTCTTATACCTTTATATATAATTGCTCTTTACAGCTGTGACCATTAAAATAGTGGCTCGCTCGTTGGATGTGTTGTCTCGTTCGTTGTCGATGTGTTTTTTATCACCTTTGTACATATTTTCTGATTATGATGTGAGCTACATTTATATATCTTACTGTAATTAGATTTGATTCTTTATCAACAATTTTTTACTACCACCACTCATCCGTATCCGATCACTCAACGTTACTCCTATGGCTGTTAAAAACTGTCATATCAAACCCACCCCTCACCCCTTAATCAATCTTATTCTTACGGTTTCCTTTTTTACATCTCTCGTTCACACACACATACTCACATAAAACACACATATTACACACATATTACACATATATCCTACACTCATCCTTCATCCAACGACAGTCTGTTTTGTCGAGAACGTTCTAAACCGAGAGGATACCGTTTAGGTGCAGATATTTCTAAAGACACGTTGATCTTGTTTGAACGAAAATCTAACAGAAGATGATGATTGTCGATAAACAACGGATTCCAAAATTTAGTTTACTATCGTATTACAAATTTTACGTCCAAATTCATTCGAGGGGGTTCACCAGATCGATAGGAAGAAAGCCAAGTACTGGATCAAGAGAAGTCGTGGCAATTAAGTCTATTCGACTATCGGCATTCCTTTAAATTTGAACGAACGAACGCACACAAAACCACGCTTACGTTTAATAATTGTCAGACTCACGAACAACCATCCCGATGGATGGCATTCGTCATGAATGTGTAACGGGTAAAAGGAATTCGTTGGTATTCTATCGAATAGGCTTAATTGAAAAATTCTCAGCGAAAATGTTGCTACGAACTAAATTTTACGGACAAAGTAAAGAACAACGAATACGAGTTCTTTTTCTATGATTTGGATTATAAAAAAAAAGAAGATAAAAAAGAAAAATAATAAATTATAATCATCCTGACTTCTGGTGATCACCCCCCCTATATATCACAAGATACGAAAGACATTACGAAAGAGATCGGCTGTTGACAAATTTTATTATCCAATAAAAAGAACTATCGGAAAATCTAATTAGGCTAATTGTATACGCGATTTGATAGAAAAAAAAAACAAACAAAAGTAAACTACAAGCAATAAATAATGGGCAAAACAACTTAGAAAAAATACGAATCTGATTTTCGATAATTATTTTCATACAGCTTAGAAATAGCTGCAGATTATCGTAAATATTTTAATGTCACGTAATGAGTGTTGAGTGTAACCTTCTAATATAAAAGGTATGCCTCGGCACCAATAACGGCATTCTCCTCGATGATTTCGTCCTCGAAGATTCCAAGTTAAATCGTTCGCATGATCATTCTTACGCGATATATTAGGTTTTATTAAATTAAATCATTACAAAACAACGACTCGCTGCCATCGTCGAGAATGCCGTAAATATGTAGTTACGTTCTTTTACTTTTTTTTTTACGTTTTATGTTCGACCCCAGGTTTTTTACGCGATCCCCGTTTTTTCTCCACCTATTTCTTCGGCTTGTGATGTAGGTCGTAGATTGATATTGGTTAATTGGATTATTTTTCTGTCTCCTTTACTGTTAATAAATTCTTATAATTATTATAATAATAATAATTATTATTATTATTAATATTATTATTATTATTTTTAATATTATTGTTAAATATGTACATTATATCGTTAATTATTATTATTATTATTATTATTTTAATATTATTCTATCTAATTATTATCATTTTTCGGCAGGAACGTTCAAATTTGAAACGAGGCGGAATTCCCTGACAGAACGGCTCTATCATTAACATCCAATTTTTACCATTTCCAATCTGACTGATGGCTAATTAAATTGAAGAACTGTCTTTTGTGCCGATAAAATGAATATCATGAGGTAATATATGTATTATGTATGCTCTACCAGGGTAACCGCCGATTTTCATTAAAAGGAAGGAATTTAAATCAAATTTGAATTTTCCTCGTACTATTATATGTTACCGTTTATCATTATCACGCATTAATACACACGCAGCCTTCCACGCTGTCTCAGATGGATACGTTTACCGCGATTGTAAGCTAATGTAAACGTACGCATCGGTTTAGAGATCGTTAATTATTATTATTATTATTATTATTATTACGTGTCTTCCACAACACGGATGTGTTTTTATTACATTTTGTATTACCCTACCTCCTTCCCCCTTAGGATGGTGGATGCTGGTGTAACCGTGTAACTTTGTCGTTCTCGGTGTTAGCCGCAAGATATTCTCTTTTGACGCCTATTTTTAAAGCACAAAAAGATATCAATTAACCTTACTATTCCCCCCACCAACCAAACCCCCCTTCAACCCCTGTTTTTTTTACACGCAAGCTTGGAAAGTAACTAACATCACTCTTTTGTACTTTTTTCTGTTTTCTCTAACTTTCGACAACTCGGCCAACAACCCGCAGACAGAAAGCTGTTCGTGGGAATGCTCAGCAAGCAACAAACTGAAGACGATGTCCGACAATTGTTCGCTGCCTTCGGCACAATAGAGGAGTGCACCATCCTCCGTGGTCCAGACGGTAGCAGCAAAGGTGAGTTTTATATATTTTCTTTTATTTTTTCTTATTTATTATTTCATTACACTCTGTCTGTGATTTCATTTAGTATTTGAGTAAGATTCGTACAACCTACGTCATCGATAGTAAGTTAATCAATAATAATTGTACATCAGTTTCAATGCAACTATGATGCAAATTAGTTGCATCCTCGCGTGCTCGAGTCAGACTCGTGTTTTCTTGCAGGAAAAAAAGGACCTTTCTCTATCTACAAAGTCTAAGTTTTAAATTAAAATACGAGAAAAGATTTCGCAAGAACTGGTATTTCTCTCTCTCTCTCTCTCTCTCTCTCTCTCTCTCTCTCTCTCTCTCTCTCACTCCTATTAGTTCGTTAAGAAGGAGAAGCGTTTTCTCGTGCGCGTTCAAACTGGTGATGAGCTGCGAAACTCATAATCCCTCCCCGCGGACGTGTTTTTCTGGAGGTCCATCGAACGACGAGAAAGGTGAAGGAAGAATAAGAAGAAGAATAAGAATAAGAAGAAGAAGAAAATGAAGAAGAAGAAAAAGGATTCTCGAGGGTGCACCTTCTCTCCGCTCTTTTGGCAAAGGACGAAGAGCAAACCGAGACTGCGAAATTAATCACGAGATGCTCCGGTAAGGAAAAAACGCAAGAGAGTAAGCGCACATCAAAAGAAGCAATTGCCTCGGTGCTAGCAAGAAGAAAAGAGAGGGAGAGAGAGTTGGTAAGTGAGTGTTGAAAGAAAGAGGATAGCCATTTAGACCGTCGTACCGATGAGTAAGCAACGACTACCAGCGGGCAAGTTGAAAAAAAAGTATAATCGGTCTGGCATTTGGATATTTGCTCGCGCTCCTCCAAACAGCCTCTTTCCTGCGTACTTGTAGAAATAAAGGAAAAAAGATTTTTACTTAAAGTGAGAGAGGGAGAGGAAAAGAGAGTACGAAGAAGCTGATTTTATATGGTGACGGGGGTAAGGAAGCTCACTCGGAAAGGACAGGAAGGGCAATAATTTCCGCTGGACGAGGCAGGGAAATTTAAATATTTTCATTCAAAAATGAAGACCGCGAGTAATGGGATGCCGGTCGGGTCGGACGTGCTTTCAAGGAGTTTGCGAAAAACTGACGACGAGGAATAGAAGACTCGAAGAAAATGAGAGAAGAGCGAGATGGAAGGAAAGAAGGTAGGGTTGGGTAGGGATAAAGGAAAGAGCAAGACGAAAAGAGAGGAGTAGTAGTAGTAAAGAAGGAAAAGAGCATGGGGTAGGAGGGTATGGTACGGCATGGGATTGGGCGGGGCAGAGGCGCGAATGTAATTAAATTCCACTTTGAAGTGAAACTCACTTTCAGCAGTTAATAAGATTTTGATTCGTAGTCGGTGGTGACGTAACGCGCGGCGCCGATCGGGCGCTTGACAGGTAACAACTACGATTCGCGGCCCTTCAAATAGAGAAAGAGAGAGTGAGAGAGAGAGAGAGAGAGAGAAAGTAAACGCGTCTAGGTACTCGTAATCACGATTAAAATCTCCGAAGGACGTTAAGAATCGTTTAGAAATTCGTTTGAGAACTATTTCCGATCGCTTTAATGTCCCCGACAGTGTTCTTGTATGAGAAGAGAAGCCAAAGTAGTTGGAACTTTGTTCTATAGAGGTTTGTCTTTTGAAAATAGTTGAAAGCCAAAGGATACCGTAGTAACATCGAGGCAACTCCTGTCTCCTGTCAAGAAGAAATTAACACGGAACTAACCCCACGGTACCTCCCCCAGGAACAACCTTGATCGCTTATTCCGTGCAACTCCGCATACGCATAAAGCTTCGCGTCCTCGAGTCCACGATCCTGAACATATAACCTCACCCAGATGGAAACTTTCCGAACACGCTTCATCACCACTTCGCCGGCGAGTTTCATAACTAGCTAATCCGAACTGTAATAGAGAGATCAGGGAAGGGCTGGCGCGCGCGCGTGACTGCTTTATATACGCGGCGCCCTTTCCGCAACTTCAAATTACCTACGCTAAGGAGATATCGCTTTCCTAAATCTTATTTCAGATCATCCGTTAGTTAAGCATCAGGATCAGTAAGTTGTCTCTTCTCACTTTCTCTTACACTCTCTCATTTGTTATATATAAAACGTTTCAAACGATGGGAGAGAGAGAGAGATAGACAGAATTATGACCTATCAAAATTACAGCCATTCCCAAAGCCCGTTGTTCGCAATCCTGTTTCCAACTTTGTCAGTTCGATAAAGCGATTTGGGAAAGGGAACCCGTAAAAGTAGCGCCGGTAACGAGGAGTTTAAGAACACGATTCGAATGGACCTAACGTTAATAAGAGGTGTCGCGGAGGATTATTCGAAGGGGAAACTTTCTCTCTGCCATGAGGGATGAACGAGAGAGAGAGAGAGAGAGAGAGAGAATGAACCATCGGGGAGAGCTATACCGTCAAACTTTTCCTTTAACTCGATTTCTCAATCGTATAATCTTGCTTTAGGTTAGCTGTATCATCGGGATCTAGTACTACTTATCATTCACCTCTACTTTCTTGGATTTTTATTTCATTAAATATTCCTCGCGCTCTCTCTCTCTCTCTCTCGGTCTCTCAAAGATAAACTATCGCAAAAAAAAAATTAGTCGTTCATTAAAAGATCTTTTCTCAACCATTGAAAATATTACGATAAGCGCAGAAATTGTTTGAAATTCATTCGATGCCAGTGTAAAATCGTAGTACCTTGAAGTTAGATGAAAACCTTGTTGCAATGGGGGAGAAAAGTTCTTCTTCCTGTGTACGAGAAGCGTTACATACCTTTGCCAGGAAGTTCGAAAGGTGGCGGAAGACTTCTCGGTAACGAGGAGTTTAAGAAAGGAATGGTAAGTCCTTGGATACAAAGATGGTAGAAAGAGGTTTTCCTCCTCCTCCACAAGGCCCTCCCCACCTCTCATCGTCCTCCTTCTCATCGTCGTCTTCGTCGTCGTCGTCGTCGTCGTCGTCGTCGTCGTCGTAGTAACGCTCTACATTCCCTTGGCAAGTAACGACAAGGCTCTTCGTCCAATTATTTTTCCCTCGGTTCGAAACATTTCAACGCCACTTCAACGAACGAACTCGTTCTATTCTCGTTGTCGTGCAATTCCTTACTGCCTTCGTCCTACCCCTCTTTCCCTTTCTCTGTCTTTCTCTCTCTCTTTCTCATTTTCTTTATACTTTTTCACATACTCACGTTAGTAAAAAAGCTCGCGCTAAAAGAAAGAATGAAAGAATGAAAGAAAGGGAAAAAGACTTCTAGCATGGACCACGAATCCGCATTATTTCAATTGCGCGAACGGCAATAATTCACTGTGCTAAGAAGATTATAAAATGTTTATGAATAATGGAACGAAATATTATTCGGAGGCAAGCCTCGAGGGTCCCGCAGGAGTGCGAGGAGGAAGAGGGTCGCAGGACGAAGTAACACCACGGACAATGGCAAAAGCACCCTGGTTCGCTTTTTCTTCCTCTCCTTTCTCTCCCTTTCTCTCCCACCCTTTCTTTTGGTCTTTTTCTCCTCAAACAGAGCTTTCAAGGTATATTTGTGTGGTTCGCGTGGTTCTACGCAAAGTATGAAGAACGTTGAACGAAGTAGAAGCGAAAACGTTAGAGAGGGAACGATTCTATGCATTAACTTGTAATAATATTGCAATCCACCATTACTCTAGCCCCTTTTTCGTGAAAGATGGAACGTGTTGCTTTGTTACTCCGTGCTACTCTGTACTGTGTAGAGCTCAGTCATTCCCGGGAGACGCGTTACGTAACTTTCGCGTTCCTTTAAACCGTTTAAAGGCCTTCCAATAGGCATTTCGACGTGCATCCTTAAGCTCCCTTTTTTTTTACAAAACTATAACATCGCATTAAATTTTACCCCAACCCCTTATTTCTTGTGTCTTTATTTTTCTAAAAGACTATTTGAAAAATCGACGAATAATCGAGGCGACCCTTTAATGCATTAGAATCATCGATGATGCGAAAGGAATGCGATCTGTATGAAAGGATGGAATTGGTAGCGTAGACGAATAAGCGCCGATACATTCGAGACGCGAATCCTGGGTTTGCAAGTGACAGCACCGAGATTAATCATCGATAACCAGCGCCCATATAATACTCCCTCATAAAATGCTAGAGTGAGGAAATTATTGACTCGTACATCCCGTCAGCAATACCATCGAGGGGGATATTCCACCGTCATCTGTCTGTATTGTGCCGACGCGTTCGAAATCGACTGCGTTTTAGAACTGTTATCTCGATCATTCGAAATACAGCTCGAATTTTTTACAGCTGCATATCTCTCTCTCTCTCTCTCTCTCCCTTTTTGTATACGTGCACCTATATCTCGCTATCTCTTTTTTTTTGCCAATCACCAATTTCACAAGCAACTTCATTGCACGTACGATCTGTATGAATCAGTTTCGTCATGAATTGTATAACGATTTCCTATTTTTTTTCTTTTTTATCAATTTCTTGTTTTTTTTTCCAAATTTCTCTCACAAACAGAATATTTCAATTTTTATCCAACTTCTGGAATATATATTCCTTTCCACTTGATTATTTCATTATTTCATTTGTCTTTCATTAAACGCATGAACAGCGAAATGTAATATATGAAAAGCGGCGGGAGTAAGGGATGAAAAAAAAATGAAGGTTTGATATTAATGTTTTCACAGCGACAAAAAGAAGAAGAAGAAGAAGTAAAGGAGATAAAGTAGGAAGAAAAGAAAAGAAAAGAAAAGAAAAGAAAAGAAAAGAAATAAAAAAACAAAACCTTATTAGGTTGTTCGCACTGCAGGACCAGCAGCAGCTCCACGTTCACCTCGAAGCTCAATGGTAGTTGTGGTGGTGCGATGGTGGGTGGGTGGTGGGTGGAGTAGAGAGAAAGAGGGAGTTGGAAGCTCTCAATATGTCCGACCTAATCCTCTCCCAGAGGACTGTACGTCCCCTCTACGCCCCCTGTACGCCCCCTCTATGTCCCCTCAACGTCCCCTCTAGGTTCCCTCTA